GGGGCGGGGCTAAAGCGCGGCGGCAGTGCGCCCCCTGGCGGCGCGCGGCAAGCATGAACGGGCCCGGAGGGTGGGCGGGGTCAGAGGGGGCGGAGCAAACAGGCCACGCCCCTTCTCTGGCCTCGTCACGTGGCCCGGAGCGCGGCGCGGGTTGGGGGTGCGGGTGCCGGTAGCGGGGGCCGTGCACCGGGACCGGGAGGACCCCATGGACCCGGCCGGACCTCAGAGCGCCTCCAGCCCCAACCCCTGCTCCCACGGGCAGGGACCCCTTCCACTGGAGCAGCTTGCTCCAAGCCCCTGTGTCCAACCTGCCCTTGAGCACTGCCAGGGATGGGGCAGCGAGAGCTGTGCAGCCCTTGCCGGCCGTTTCCACTTTGGACTTCAGCGCTGTGAAGACCAAACCCATGTGAAAAGCGGCCAAATCCTCTTAAATGTAACTCAGAGAGAGAAAGAAGGGAGAGAAAGTTCTTCCTTTAACCTTGCCTTTGCTGGTCACGTGCACAGTGCAGCCAGTGCTGGCCCTGTGTCCCTCAGGGGCTATGCAGGGCAGCATTCTCAGGGAGCACCTCTCAGTTCCTGGTGTCTGAAAGGTGACTTTTTGGTAGATCTCATCCGCTTCACTTTGATAACGAGCTCATCAGATAACGTGACCTTAAAACAGCTCCAGCACCTAAAGGGGCTGCAGGAAAGCTGGAGAGGGGCTTGGGACAAGGGTCTGTAGGGGCAGGCCAAGGGGAATGGCTTTAACCTGCCCGAGGGGAGACTGAGATGAGCTCTTAGGCAGAAGCTCTTCCCTGAGAGGGTGCTGAGGCGCTGGCACAGGGTGCCCAGAGAAGCTGTGGCTGCCCCATCCCTGGCAGTGTTCAAGGCCAGGTTGGACACAGGGGCTTGGAGCAAGCTGCTCTAGTGGAAGGGGTCCCTGCCCGTGGCAGGGGTTGGAGCTGGAGGAGCCTTGAGGTCCCTTCCAGCACAAACCAGGCTGGGGTTCTGTGGTTTTCACTGATCACAGAAGGATCCTGTTGTTACCCGGGGGCTGAACAGGCTCGAGTACACTGGATTGGTACAGAATTAATAAAGTATCTTTGCTGTCAGCTGAAGCTGAATTCTCACTGCACACAAAGGACGGAAACGCAGACATGAAGCGTTGAAGCCTTATGAAGGTTTCAAGCACAGGCTTGCCAAAAAAAGGCCAATAAACTCAGATGAAGAGCGCAATGTGTTATTTTCTCTGTTGCTCTAAACAGCAAAATAAGAACAGAAATCCTCCACACTTAGGTATTATTTATTATGGAATCTTTCCAATGTTGCAGCATCTGGAGGACAGGACAAGCTGTAGCCCTGAGGCAGCCTTGACTTGCTGCAGACCCTTGCAAACATGCTGAGAACAGCACGCAGGCATAGAGAGTTCCAGGGTCACCAAGGACAGGGAATTCTGTGCTGGTTATCGAAGGGAAAGGGATTTTTTGAAGCATCCTCCACAACATGGTGATACAGAAAATCTGCCTCTGAATCCATTCTACAGTGACTAAGGCAGTTTCCATCGTTGCAGCACCCATTAAATCCAATGGTGCTGAACATACCTTGGGCCAGACACAGCCCAACCATGGCAGGGGATAACAGAGAGAGTGGGGACAGAGGGAGAACACAGCATTAGGGAGGGAGGAAGAGCTCTGGTACTGGTGAAGCTCAGCACAGGGACCCCTTCCCGGGACCCTGCAGTACCGAAGGTCACTAAGCAGGGGTTCAGCTCCTGTTGCATCTGAAGAGTAGCTCTAAAGCCAGTTATGATTCAACATTGAACACAGCACTCATGATGAAATCCAGGCTATCTGACATGGCTTGGACTGGGACATCCGGTGCAAGGCTGGAGCTGTGTTACTCATGAGATGAGCTAGCTCAGAGTACAGTTCCTCATATCAGCACAGTTACAAATGGGTGCTCCAAAACTTGGGGGTGACTTCGGCATCTTGTTTTCACAGGATTTGTGTCTCCTGTAGAAGCGAGCTTGCAGAGAGGCTGAGGAGACTGTACCACACCTACCACACATCTGCTGCAGGGACAAACCTCACTACTGATTAGAGCACATGGAATGTCAGTGTGCTTTAACATTGTCAAGGTCAAGGGAAGACTGAATGGGAGGAGAGGAACCACTGCAGGCTTTCACAATTCCAGGCAATCAGAACAGAACGTGTGACTGGAGAAACTCTTTGGAATTTGCCCTTGGTGAGTCAGGATAATCTCCTGGGAAGGCTGGGAGACGACTCCCAGAGAGTAGCTCCTCCTGTTGGGTTTGCTGGCTTGGTTTGTGGATCTTCAACCTTGGATTTAAGCAAAGCAAAACCCAGAGGATGGACATGTAAGTGTGTATAACAAAGAGCAGAAATCAGTGCATATGTCTGATGTTGCACAGGTTGGTTTGTGGGAATACAGAAGCTGCTGCTGATGAAAGAGCTGGAAGTATTAAAGCTCAACAGATTTTGAAAGCAGTAAACAGTCAGTACATGTATTACTAAACTTATCAGTACTAAATATATCTGTGAATACTCTCAGCTCCATATTGGTGTGTAATGTACTTTTTACCACATTTAGAGTCATGTTCATTCACTCAGAAGTTTCCCAAAATTGTAGCAAACTTGATGGAAACTGTAAAGCTCTTATCAGCCCTCATGACAATATGCTGCTTTATGGAAATGCAACCAGAGATTTTAAAGCATCGTTTCTTTTGCCATGCAGTGGGTTATGAGTGCTCCGGGGTACAAATGGTCACCTTCAAGGGCTGGAAATCCCTCTGCTATGGTGAATGGACTCAAATCCCCAACTGCCACCCAGTGACGGATGCTTTTTGGGCAGAAATCCCTCCGCTATGGTGAAAGGACTCAAATCCCCAACTGCCACCCAGTGACTGATGCTTTTTGGGCAGAAATCCCTCCGCTATGGTGAATGGACTCAAATCCCCAACTGCCACCCGGTGACGGATGCTTTTCGGGCAGAAATCCCTCCACTATGGTGAATGGACTCAAATCCCCAACTGCCACCCAGTGACTGATGCTTTTCGGGCAGAAATCCCTCCACTATGGTGAATGGACTCAAATCCCCAACTGCCACCCAGTGACGGATGCTTTTCGGGGTAAGGACCCCTCTGAACACCTTAACAGGCCATTAACAGCTCCTCTGCTCTGCGGCTCCCTCGAGTGCACAGCAGCCTGTGCAGGTGTACTTGGCACTGCAGCTGCCAGTGGCTGAGCCCCTGGGGGCAGCCGCCGAGGAAGGGGCCCTGCTGAGCAGCGCCAGGACTCAGGGGTACGAACCCCAAGGGCAGGTTGTTCATGGGGACAGGAAAGGAACCAAACCGCAGCCCTGTGCCACCCATGAGAGCAGGGGGACGCTCCCTGTGCCAGGTGTGGGGCACTGGGGCCCTGCGGAGTGCACTCCCTCATGCCACGGTGCTGATGGCATAGGTGGCTCTGACAGCTCCCTTGAGAACTCCTGTGTGCGACGCCGGGGTAAGTTTAGAGCAGTGTCACCGTGTCCTGGCGTGGGGACAGACGGTGCCCTGCGTGTGGCGAGTTCGCCCCGTCGGGTACAGCAGGGAGGCTCTGCCTTCCTTGCATGGGAGCGCTTTGGCTGGGAGGCCAAATGGAAACCAGAACATAAAATAACGGCAATAATATCAGAGATTCTTCTCCCCACAAGCGCAGGGGCTGTGCAGTGGTGCAGACCCTGCAAGCCTGAGGCTCTGGAACCCAGGACTCCGTGTCACCATCCCACTGTTTCTGCTCAGGGAGTGCCAGGACTCCCCGGGACCTGGAAGCCCATGTGCCAGTGAAAGGTTCAGACCTGGGTGAGCCCAGGCAGGCTCAGGTTCTCATTGCTGCCTGAGAAGGAGCTGCAATGGAACAGGCTCTGATGGACTGCTGCTCCTCTTCGGAGCACGTAAAGCCTGGGAGCACTATAGAAAGGGTCTGTTTATTACCACGATGCAGTTCTTTACTGGGTAGAGGCTTTGTCACGTTTAGTACCACCAACACTACCCCTACGCGCTAATGAAAGGGATTCTGTTCTTGATTGGAATGCACAATAGGTACACCATGTGCCATGGCATTAGATATAAGGCAGAAGCTCTTCCCTGTGAGGGTGCTGAGGCGCTGGCACAGGGTGCCCAGAGAAGCTGTGGCTGCCCCATCCCTGGCAGTGTTCAAGGCCAGGTTGGACACAGGGGCTTGGAGCAAGCTGCTCTAGTGGAAGGGGTCCCTGCCCGTGGCAGGGGTTGGAGCTGGGTGATCCCTAAGATCCCCTCAGCGCACACCACTGTGATTCCATGATTTGTACTTGCTCTGCCCACAGGAAGTGTATTTCTAGGGCAGTTTGCTTGTTTGAATGTGGCGAAATCATCAGCTGGGAGTGTTCCACAGAGGGAGCGGCCCAGGAAGCAGAAGGGACAGGGGATGGGGCAGCCAACAAAGAAGAGGCAAAGCACTGACTCACGTTACTGACAGAGAAGTGACTTCACTCACACTGGCCACGCAGCTTCGGTCCAGACAATAGAATTCTGACTAATGTTGCAATAAGCAGATAAATTATACAGCTACAGCTGGGAGGACAGCTCTGGTTCTCTGTTCCCAGCCAGGACACTGACTGACGGCTCAAGGTACAGATTTGAGAGTGCTCTTCCCAACTGTAAATGGGTAACTGTGAATTTCAGCTCATTGCTGTATTAACCACTTGCACTGACTGCCTTGGGCACCCCGTGGTTAATATCAACACCCTCATCCACTGAGTGCTGTAACAATCCTTGGCCACCCCTTATGTTTTCCTTGGGTTTTGTCTTCTACCTTAGAATCTCGGCTTTGCTTTTGAAAGACTCGAGTGCTGCAGGTGTTCACATGTGTTCACGCAGTGCCCGTGGGTACAGGCACACCACAGACGCACTTCTGGCAGCAGCAAAAATACGCGGTTTAATTCTTAATGGTTTAAAGTATTTGGTGCCAGGGATTTTTGTGAGGTTAAGGAAATGTCAAGCCAACAACGTCCATCAGCACAGAGCCCTGGGGCCGCTGTCCTGCCTCCAAAGAGCAGATACTCACTGCCTCAGCGTCTTGTTTTGCTTTCTTCATTTCCGGTTGGGAAGCTCCTTTTAACTCCTGCCCCCCGTGCTTTCACCACTGCTGTGTGCTCTTTGATGTGCTGCTCCAGCTTCTTTTCCCAGCGGGATCTAAGTAAACACGGTAACATTATTCCAGTTGCTTTGTATTCATTGGCCCTTCTGTGCCCAGTTTCAAGTGTTATAGCTCGTTTCTGCCAGAAAGAATTACAGACACAGGGAGCAAAATGAGGACATGCTGTGGCCTTGCCTTTGCTAATGTGCACCCGGTGGGGCACGTGCCGCGTGGGGCTCTGGCACTGTCCCACGCTGGCTCGCACGCTTGCAGGGATCTATGGAATTGGTGCGTTATTGATGTCACACCACATCCCGCACCTCGCTCAGTGCAGAAGCTCGATGGTGCTCTGGGGAGAGCTGAGGGTTTGGCAGCGCCACAGGCTGGATTTGGTGGGTCCTCGGCACGGCTGCTATGGGAGCTGGAAGGCTTTGAGGGAAGGAGGCAGCACAATGGCAAAGGACAAAAGGAGAGCAGTGCAGTGATTCACGGGGGAATGCTGAGTGGGTTCAGCACAAACAGTGAGTGAGATGGAAGCATGTTGACAAAACAGGAATCTGAAGGGCCTGAGCTGCCCCAGGGCAGGAGGCTGAGCCTGCTTGACTGTCTTGCTTTGTAGGTAAGATCATGTTGGGCAGCAGAAATACAAAAGGAGTGCTGTGGAGCACTGCTCTCCAGTGCAGAGGCACATCCACACAGGAGGAGAGCCAGTGCAACAGCAGGGCTGGAGTACCAGTGGCTGCTGAATAATGGATATACTGCACTTGTACTTGACCTGTCTGGCCATAGCCCTGGTACCTGCAACCGCCTCTCTTCCATGTTACAAGACAGTGTAATATAGTGTATTTTTCCTTAAAGCTGATTAAATTTTTCCTTGACTTACAGACATCTGTTATGAGCTATGTTCTGAGATTACAGCTTGAACATGCTTGTAGAGTTGGTTCAGTTACAGCCTCATACAAAGACAGTGCAAAGTGGAGCAAACCAGCACAGCTTGCACTCACAAACCAGAACATTTCCAGCTTTCCCCATAGATGTTAAAACTAAAGAGAAAAAAGCCCTGAAACTCAATTTGAATACATTCTAAAACCAGCACCAGCCCCATTTTACAGGCTCTAAAACCTGGGCCCATGTTCATACATAAACTCTCAGAAAGAGGAATGACTTCAAGCGTTTTCAGGTATTTTCCAGCCCTGCTGACAGACTCGAACAACTGAGACAAGCGTGAATTCAGGCTCTGCGCTGAGCCTGTCAGGGTGAGGCTATCAGGACCAGAGGTGCTGAGTTTCTGGCCAGCCCCTGGCTCACGCTCCCTGTGTTCAGATGATACAGAGGTACAATAACATCATTGGTTTATTATTAAAACTAATTATTACTAATACATTAGGAACTGCTTTAGGAGCATGCTTGGAGGCTGGATGTTGCACTATACATGAAGGAGCCAATGCATGTAGCTCAGGGACAAGTCTTGAAGCACTAGTGAGTCTCCTTTAAAAGGTTTTGGGTTTTGTTTAATAAGCCTGGAATTAAGTTGCTCTCTTATTTCTCCTTTAACCACAATGCTTCTTTACAGGGGTGCAAGATTTCTTTACTTGATAGGATAGCAAAAATGAAATGAATACTTTCATAAAGACAAAATAAATGGACATTATCAATTGCATTATATAGCAACAGTTTCAGCACTCACCTTGAAGCTTCACCCTTTACTTCCAGCATCCATTCTTCCACTATCTGAGGTGTAGGGTCCTGTTTCTCAGCTCTCTTGTTCATGGTGTGGTAACTGATGTTATCAGGTGCATATGGTGCATTTTTGGGTAGCTACAGCAAAATAGAACGGTAACACATTATCTGGCGATGGCAGTGATTAAAACCTGGTTGCACATTGAATTCAAAGCACGGTGAAGGCTGCAGTGATGGCTGGTGGACAGTGACCACTGGAAGCACTGTGGCTGGCGCTAGGCTACTGGGCTCTGGGGACACACATGTGGCAAGACACTTCCCATGTGTTTTCCCAGTTGCCACACAGCAGGAACAGGCTTTGATTTCTGTACAAAGGTTTAATATGGAGCCCAGAAAATCAGACCCCAAAGCTGCGAGAAGGCTGGGCTGGAGCACCTTGAGTTTTAGTACAGTAATACTGGTGCTGTGGAGCACAGTGACTGTGCTCATGAGCTCTGCTGCGGCTACACTGGCTGTAAGTCAGAATCCTACAACTCAGTTCTGTGTCTTGTACTTCTATGTGTTACTGCTTTAAATCAAGCTGCGACTTGGTGCTACGCTGGTCAAGTGTTAACCAGGTTAAGTGTCACCTGGGGCAAGCTGCTCTGGTGGAAGGTGTCCCTGCCCATGGCAGGGGGCTGGAACTGGAGGAGCTTTAAGGTCCCTTCCAAAGCATTCTCTACGATTCACAGATGAAATGCAGTATGTATTTTGTTTTTACTTACAAGAGTATTGCTTCCCTCAGATCTGGGAATAAAAACCAGATAACCCAAATCCTTTGAAATGATTTAAATACAGATCAATGGTGATGCTTTACACAAGCTCCTGCCATAAAGTGAGAAACTTAAAAATGCCTCTTTGCCTCTTAATGCCTTAAGAACAACCCACACAGCCCAGAGCAGCACCCACTCTCCTGGGGGGGGGCAGGAACGTGCCAGAATGTATAGCTATATGTTCAACATAGAATACTGCATTAGCAGTAACTGTGAATGCAGCACAGTCTATCATCCAGCTTCTGTCCTGGCACTTTTTTCTCAGTAGATATGTGTTTGCCTTGAGAGCTTGATCTCATATTTCTGAAAACAGGAAATGACCATTCCAACATGAACAATGTGAAAACGAGTTTTTTTTTACTGGAGTAAAAAGTCTCTCTCCATCTTTCTTACAGGCCCCTTTTAAGTATTGAAAGGCTGTAATAAGGTCTCCCCAGAGCCTTCTCTTCTCCAGGCAGAACAAACCCAACCCCTATTTATTTATCTGGGAACATGGAAGCAAAATATGTAAATGCATCAGGTAAAAGCATACTTGTTCCTTCTCTTGCCACTCAAAATTCAGTTCTGTTCTATGCCAACTGGATTTCTGTGGTCCTAAAAATAACCAGTTGGGTTGGCAAAACAAAGCCCTTCCTGCACAGAGAAAGCAGAGTGCAAAGCCTCAGCGGGAGAAGAGAACACCCCGGGAGCTGTTATCCATTGGGAGGGTTCTCAGGGCTTCAGCAGGAGCGCAGGGAGCCAGTTTGCAGTGAAAACCAATCCAGTCGGACCCCGTATTCAGATGTGACCCTGGCTGATCGTAGCAGAAAGAGACATTTCTCTCACAACCTGCTCCCTCAGCCCGCACGCATAAAACCCACCCTGCAAACCTCTTCCTGCACCACAGAGAACCTTTGCTTTGGCTTTGCTTCTGTGGCAAGACTGGCCAAGATGTTGTCACAAGTGGAGTCATTACATTGATGTATCTCTCTTAACTTCAGGGCAATAAGGGCAGCAGTGAACATTCACAGGCTAGAATCAAGTTAAAATGTGTGGTAACCTGGACCTGGGTTACAGCTCCATTGAAGATCACAGAATCCCAGCCTGGTTTGTGCTGGAAGGGACCTTACAGCTCCTCCAGCTCCAACCCCTGCCACGGGCAGGGACCCCTTCCACTAGAGCAGCTTGCTCCAAGCCCCTGTGTCCAACCTGGCCTTGAGCACTGCCAGGGATGGGGCAGCCACAGCTTCTCTGGGCACCCTGTGCCAGCGCCTCAGCACCCTCACAGGGAAGAACCAATGAACTGTGACACTGAACCTGTACAAATTCCTTGTTACCACTGAGCGATGGAATGCGTTTTCATTTTAAACCTGCTGACATCTCACAGAAGACTGGGAATCTTCCTACGCTTCCAGGGTTAGAAGGAGCACGTTCAGCAGCCATGAAGCTGAGACGCAAGAATTCCTCCCAGCAAGAGAAACACCACCCGAGCATCCCCGGCTCCCTCAGTGATCATCTCGAGCTGCCTTACTCACTGTCTTTGCTACAGCTCATTTTCACACCACAGCATTGGAAGAATCGTGTGCATCCATTTTTAGCACCTCATCTCTTGCAGTTTTGCATTATGAGGAATGAGTCTAATGGCAAAGCCAACAGGACAGCAGGGTTTGGATTAAATTTAGATTTAATATTTTGTTACTCTGGAGAGAAAACTTCTCAGGCCTTTCACACAGGCTCGGGAAGAACCAGAAGCGAGGTCCCCCCCTCCCGTGTGCCCTTCCATACCCATATGTTTACAAATCCCTGGAGGAACCAGCAAATCCAGCCGGCTTCCAAGTCACTTTGGCAGCGGCTGCATTGCAGTGGAGGCGTTCAGTGATTTCAGACTCCCATCTCTACACACGCACTTCTGTTCCAACGCCTCCGAGCGCCGCTTGCTGGAGCCACCACAAATTTCCAAGAGCATCGTGAAGGATCTGGCGACTCCCACACTGCACAGGGGGCTCCTGCAGGAGCCACAGTCCACGCAGGAGTCTGCGCTAGGGTCAGCAAAGCCATCGCTGAGGGCATGCTGCTTCGAGTCCTGGGGTTCTCTTTTTAGGTTTTAAATTTGAATGTATGGACTATGTGGAAAATAAATCAGAGGCTACCACTGGTGGACTGGGGGTTCCCATGTCCTGCCCTGCTGGTCTCTATGACATACCATATCTGCCTTTGTAGGTGAGAATCTAAACGCTTCTTTCTTTCCTCGGCTTTGCCTGGCTGCACCATTCCCAAAGCATTTCTTTACTGCTGAAAAGGGGAATTTGTGTCAGACTTTTAAAGCCATCACTTTAAGAGGTCGATGTTGTTACTCTTGAGATGATACTTATTAGACATATTGATTCCTAACAAAGAGAAACAAAACACCAGGGGCCTCTTCATGAAGCATTAACTTACCCAAGGAAGATGGCAACTGTGAAGACCCACCCTCACTTCCCAGTTCAGTGGAGGAAAACAGCAGGACAGAGCAGAACATAGATCCAAATTAGAGCCATGCAGAGCAATGAAATGACTGGTAACAAGCACTCTTGGCTATAGATTAAATTGGTAAGCTTCAATAACGAGTAGAGCTGAGTGAACATAAAGAAGTAGCAGACAGTTGTACCACAAGTAGTTCTACTGGATCACATAATCTGACCCATCATATTTTTAGGGTGCATCAGTTAAGGTCTCATTAATACCTACTCATTATAGAATCATAGAATAGTTAGGGTTGGAAAGGACCTTAAGATCATCCAGTTCCAATCCCCCTGCCATGGACAGGGACACCTCACACTAAACCATGGCACCCAAGGCCTCATCCAAACTGACCTTGAACACTGCCAGGGATGGAGCATTCACAACCTCCCTGGGCAACCCATTCCAGTGCCTCACCACCCTCACAGGAAAGAAGTTCCTTCTTATATCCAATCTAAACTTCCCCTGTTTAAGTTTTAACCCGTTAGCCCTTGTCCTGTCACTACAGTCCCTAATGAAGGGTCCCTCCCCAGCATCCCTATTCATTAATATCTACTCTCATTCTGAATGTCCTCAGTGATTCTCCTGCATTTCAGTACCAAGTTTCAGGATACTCCTCCTTGTACTGCCACTCTCTGGCACATAAACAGGTCAATCCCCTTCATTTCCATTGTTATGGACACTGTCCTTAAGTATTCCCAGTATCTGCCCCTTGACCTCTATATTCTGTCTGGAACTGCCCATAAAGCTAAGGAACGCTCACATTGGAGGCCAACGAGAAGCTGAACGAACACCACCTTTGTGTCCGCATCTCACCTGGGAGTGGGCAAGGGTCAGAATAAAAGAGCCACACTTCAGAGGAAGGGCAGGTTGTGGCAGATACAGCTCAGCCCTGTTCCCGGTGGTCACTCTATGCTGTGCACACACTGGATAAGGAACTGGCAGGAGAAGCCTGCTCATTTCCACTAGCCCTGGCCCAAATGACTGCTCACTGCCCTGTCACCAGCACCTAGGTACACGTTTCTTAGGACCAGCAGCATTCCCTGCCTGGCTGGAAGGGAAAAGGAGACAAGAATTCCCTGGCTCTGCTCCTCTCCTGGTGCCAGGATGCCCAGGAAGAACCACAGCTCACCAGATGTAACCCAAATCACTGTAACACAGAGGTCCAGCTCCTGTGCCCCCAGATCAAGGGCATCAGCCTTGCACAACACAACTAGCTGGTGCTTCCAGAGTGCCACCGAGGGGCACTTGTTCTGTAACAGGAATTCCAGAGCTCCAGATAGAAAAGAAAAAAGGTGTTAAGGTGCTACAAATGAGGGCTATCACTGCCTCATTTCTTGGGTCTCCTCTGCAGTAAGTGGACCGGTGTCTGAAGAGCAGTCCAAGTGTAGGCACAAAGTGGGGAAGCACGCAGAGATGAACAAGTGCTCGTAGCAAAATGCGTTCAATCCACACACTTTTTATACCTTGGATGTCTCACATCTTTATGTCATAGGCAGAGTTTGCCCTCTAGCTGCCGCCTTCTGTCAGTAAACCTGAAGTTAAATTTAAGCTTCCATGGAATGTATCGTGTGAATTAACTGGAATGGATTTATTTTCTCTCAGACAGAATAGGAATTCATGGAGTTCCATGGCTGAGCAGGTAAGAAGCCTGGTCAGTCACCTTTCCTGCTGCCTTGGAGCACTGCACTCTGAAAGGAAAGGCACTCTGTATTTCCACTTACAGTGAAAGATACTTGGAATTACTTCTTTCCTTATGGACAGTAGAGGAGGGGGCTATTAAGCAGCAAAGTCACAACTTTTAGGACAGTGACGCTGTGATACTTGCTTTTTCCTTTGGTCAAATAGAGCTCGTTCCTTCTTCACCTCCTCTGCTGCTGACCTGCACTTCCCTGCTCACTTCACCTGCAGAGTCCCGTCAGAGGGCAGAGGCTCAGTAAATGCATCTCTTTGGGTGGCTCGTGCTCCTTTTAAAACAAGCACTTTGGTGTTGCTCACTGAATGCTACAAAGGAAAGCGGGCACAGTTAATGATGGGGATATACACAGCCACAAGGCTGGGTTTATCTCCTGGTGATCCTGCTTACGAGCAGCACTGTTCTATTTCCATACAACAATTAAAGTATTGAAAGTAAAAGCCATTTTTAAGTTATTTACCAAATGAATTACTTCATAACCCCACTGCACGCCTGAGGCTGCCTTGTGAGGGGAAATACTAAGCACAAACCACAAATTCGGCAAGGTTTTCCATGCTGTTGATACTTCAACCCCTCCAAACCCCTAAACTGTGAGCCCTTGAGGTGTGGGGCACACAGCCAGACAGACTGTACCCCCCGTCCTTGTCACAGGCCCAGCAGGGAGCACGGAGCACACAAGTAGGAGGTGAGAAGCTCCCGCATCAGTCGATCTGATGCCTTGAGCGCTCCCCTGCCTCTGCCCCACGAATTCAGCACCTGGCTTCTGCTACTACTGACTTAGAGTGCTTTGTGTTCCTGGGAGACATCAGAGAGGTGGAGCAGGGAACACAAAAGAATGAAGAGGAAAGAGGGAAAGCAAGAAAGCAAACTCCGAGTAAATGTCAACCCCCCTTTTCTGTTCCTGTCTGAAAGGAGAAACCTCCTCAAGTCATTGATACTTCAATAAAATCAGGCAGCTCCAGCTTAGTAAAAACTGGTGAGAGAAATGATTTGTAAGTACCAGTAAAAATATTCGTGAACACTGGGGGACACAAATCCTTGCCATGACAGGAAATATTGATCAAATAAAGTTACGAACATTTCCTGCGTGTTTATGCTCTCCTTTACACAAAAGTTACTTCCCAAAGAGGGTTTGCACTATTGCAAAATGTGACAAGGAAAGCATCTGTTAAATGCTTTGTATGCAAACGTAAAGAAATTGAATGGATTACCTTGTATTTACACATAGTTATTTATCACACTGCATATACTAGAAATGAAGGATCCTGCAGCCCTTTGTTATTCTGTGTTATGAAATTCTGTATTTCAGTGGAATGAATCCGGACATTCAAGGGGCCAATTATCAAAATCGAAAACCAAGTAAAAGAGAAAATTTAAAAAAGTCTGATAGTGGGTTTTAATATTTTAAATACCAGAAAATACAAAAGTTGGGTCTGCATTCCCGGGAATCGCGTGTAGCCCTCACACACTGACAGCGCGTGTAACGGTGCACGTGAACCGCTTCTGCATTTCCCAGTGAGCCTGCAGCGCTCGCGGGACCCTCACTGCGCTCCTCGGCACGGGGGGCAGAGCCGGGCCTTCTGCCGGCACCTGCCCTGGGCTGCTCCGGCACGAGCAGCTCCTCCTTCCCCTGCCCGCAGCGCCGGGAACCGGCGCCTCTGCTCCTGGCTCGGCCGCTCCTGGGGCAGATCCAGGCTGCGCCGCAGCAGCTCAGTGGGGTTCGGCTCCGCGGCCGGCGGCGTTCCGGCAGGGATTGAGGGGAGCGGGCTGCAGTCCCACATAGCCCGTCACGGGGTTAAGCACAGCGCAGTGCCCCGGTGGTGCCGGTCAGTCAGCCCAACACAAGTGGGATTCCTTGGCCTTTTATTCCTTTAAAACGTACTTCATGCTCAAGGATTTTTCCCAAAGTCTGAAGCCATCTGTGTTCTGGAAGACGCCAGCAGGCTGCGGATGGACGTGAGCAGAGCAGGGGCCTCCTTTGCACTGGTAATTCATGTACCTCGTACCTCGGGAAACTTCAGCCAGCTTCTTGCCGGTTCTACCCTGCAGAAGCTGATCCAGTTTATCATCAGTTTTGTTAAGTGCCCAGTCCTTGACCTGAGGTTTCTGGAGAGGGGTTTGGGACAAGGGCCTGTAGGGACAGGCCAAGGGGAATGGCTTTAACCTGCCCGAGGGGAGACTGAGATGAGCTCTTAGGCAGAAGCTCTTCCCTGTGAGGGTGCTGAGGCGCTGGCACAGGGTGCCCAGAGAAGCTGTGGCTGCCCCATCCCTGGCAGTGTTCAAGGCCAGGTTGGACACAGGGGCTTGGAGCAAGCTGCTCTAGTGGAAGGGGTCCCTGCCCGTGGCAGGGGTTGGAGCTGGAGGAGCTTTGAGGTCCCTTCCAACACAAACCAGGCTGGGAGTCTGTGACTTACACTGGGCTTAAGAGCCACTTGTCCTCGACACCCTGCACAAATCACAGCAGCATCCACAGCCTGATTCCATGAAGGTCCCTTGTTGTCTTTCTATTGTCTGCTGCCTCATCTGGGGCTGGCCCAGTATCCATCTGGAGCCTACCACAGACATCAGCAAGGGTTAGATGTGGCCTGTCATTTACACTGTGTGAATGACAGGGAATTCTGAACCAGAGTAGGACACCAAAGGGGAAAATCCCAGCTTTGCACTGGGATCTCTGCACCGAGGGTAAAAATAGACTCCCACAATGCATGTGCATACAGGACTGAGTTTGGGCTGCATACAGCCCTCACTTTTTCTCTCACTTTGTTTTTCTGGAGCATTTATAGGCTGCCAATGTAGATTTGGGTATAAATAAGTATTACATGAACTGTGTATGACTGAATTAAAGACAAGAGTACTCTGCATGATGAATAGGAGTTAAAAATATGTTCCATGTATCAGAGGAAGTGAAAATGCAAAGCAAACAGATACAATAATCATTACCATACTACAAGTGCCCAAATGCAATCTGTGAGTCAAAACAGGAAATGGCTCTTAACATAATCAATTGAAATATGTAATGTGATGTAATGGCAACAACCAAAGTAGTGATGAAAGCTCCAGCACACCCTGCATTTCATGCCAGCTGGCATCTCAGCTTAGACAAATCTACCTTTATTACACCGTTAGAGGTATTAATTTTCACACACAACTGAACTTACTCAGTGATCTTTCATATTTACATGACAATGATCAATTCTAGGGTGTACCTACACTGCATACAAAGTGTGACTTCTACTTACTGGTTATGGAGGCTTGTGTCTAAGTCATTCAAGCACCCACAGCAGAGCCAAGCTCAGCAACAGGTGACTGGCATAGAGCTCCTGCACCTTTTGGGGCAGGTCTGCACCTACATCTGTACCTATGCAACAGCTACATCTGTCACAGCTCCTCACCTCCACTGCAGTGCTGGGAGATGCTGAGTTGCACAAAGGTTTGGTTCCATAGACTCAGGAGGTTCCCTGAATCCTAGAGAAGAAACACCCTGGATTTCATCTTCCTCTCACATTTTAGAGAGAAATCATTCTTGCAAGGCACATTCTGTTATCTCCTCTGCATGAAGTATGTATATACTACTTCTTACACACTGCCCGCATCCAACATGAACAGATGGGCCATGTGGGAGGGAGCAAAAAACTCCTGCATATCACAGAAGGTTCCCAAACTTCATGTGCATGCCCCCAGATTCTAACTATTAAAGTCCATGGGATTATTTTTCTTTAAATATACCACTATCTAAGCTAACATTAAACAAAACAACACAAGTTACAATGCTATTCCAGAGCAGCATTATACTTGTTTTGTCATTCCAATCCACTGTGTTGGAGCCATGCAGAACAGAACAGAGCACAGTCCCACATCCTTATGCAGACATAAATCAGCAGGGAAAACGCTTTTGATTTGCTATTTTGAGGGCTCCTAACCAAGCCCTGGTGATGTTCAAGACTGCACCGCTGAAGGGGAGTTAAAAACCAAACCAAACCACTGGTGTGTTCCAGTACACTATGTGGTTGGCTGGAAAGGAAGCGGGTGACAAGCACGAGTGACCTCGGAAAACCAGCTGTGCCCACAGGAGCCCACAGCCCTGTCACACAGCCCTCTGCTGCTTGCCAAGCCAAGCTCTCACCTCACCACTACCTGAGGAGAGATCAGCTGTAACTAGTGCTGAATTGCTTGGCCAGGAGAAAGTGAGCTCTAAAAGCTACCACTGCCTCCCCTCCCACAGAGGGAGAAAGGGAGAAGAGCAGACAGGTGATCATCAGAGTGCACATCTTCAGAAGCAAAATCCAGAGCTCTTCCATTGAATCAGCCAACATCTGGTGTTGGGAGGGACCTCAAAGCTCCTCCAGCTCCAACCCCTGCCACGGGCAGGGACCCCTTCCACTAGAGCAGCTTGCTCCAAGCCCCTGTGTCCAACCTGGCCTTGAACACTGCCAGGGATGGGGCAGCCACAGCTTCTCTGGGCACCCTGTGCCAGCGCCTCAGCACCCTCACAGGGAAGAGCTTCTGCCTAAGAGCTCATCTCAGTCTCCCCTCGGGCAGGTTAAAGCCATTCCCCTTGGCCTGTCCCTACAAAAGTCCACTAATACGGAAGAAAAGATACAAATATTGAGCACAAATGATGCAGACAAAACTTACCTATACAGAAAAATGCAGTGCTGGTTCTCAAGTCATGCTCACGTGGTGAAATCTGAAGGTAAACAGTGCGAATGAAGCCACACGACTGGGATATCATTTGTCCCAAACTAAGACTTACAAACAAGGCCTTAAAACCCTGACAATAATCATGAGAGGTTCTGGAACTGCTCATGGTTCCCTTCCATGACACCATGCATGAACTTGAGATTAATCAAAACATATATAGTCATTATCTTTACATCAGTATTTTGACTTCATTTCAGTGTCACGGTATTTGGAGCTGACATTTTTCTATCTTACCACATTACTTAGCACTTCAAGTGGCTCATTCATGCCCTGAATTTACTGCTTCCCTTTAATGATATCACATTTTATCACCACTAATTCCAGTCCGATGCTAATGGTACCCAGGGTAATTAGCCTTCATTACAGGAAAGCTTAAGTATGAGAAGCGGTCTTCCGTGGGAACATGCCCAGTATTTCTATTATTAATGACTTCTGGAATCTATCAGACCATAAATAATGCAAATTATGTTGCATCTTTTCCTCCCTTCTGACAACTTCTTAATTTTACCCTCCTGATGTGAATTTATAACTGTGATACTGGGACAGAAAAAGGAGGAAGTGTGATAAAGGGCAGGTTGTGTCCTTGAGGAACATGGGCTCAAACCCAGGACCAAAGAACAGAAAACACTGTCAGCCCCCTGCAGTGTGGATGAACCTTTATTCTGTAAGCCAGGTATTGGCAGTGCTCAAGGCCAGGTTGGACACAGGGGCTTGGAGCAAGCTGCTCCAGTGGAAGGAGTCCCTGCCCGTGGCAGGGGTTGGGGCTGGAGGAGCTTTGAGGTCCCTTTAACCCAAACCAGGCTGGGATTCTGTGACACCCATTAGTGAAGAGCCACCAGGAAAGCACCCCTTTGTTCACACTGTTCTCAAAACAAATCACAGTAAGTGCACACAGACACCTCCAACATACCTGAAGCAGCTGGCTCCATCCAGGGTAGGTTTCCATTCCCAGAATCCCGAAGAAAGGACAGGATGGATTTAAATCCCTTTTGTTGACCTCTTTAGGAGGAAATTCAAGGGGACAGTGTTTCAGATTCAAGGCTGTCAGCACAGTCAAGTGTCCTGTGGAAAAGCAGTGGTTTAGCAAACACAGAACCATGGAACAGCCCAGGTTGGAAAGAACCCTGAAGATCATCAGGCCCAACCCTTCATCATTTGGCAAGATGGGTGAGTTTGCAGTGTTCAAGGCCAGGCTGGACACAGGGGCTTGGAGCAAGCTGTTCCAGTGGAAGGGGTCCCTGCCCGTGGCAGGGGTTGGAGCTGGGGGAGCTTTGAGGTCCCTTCCAACCCAAACCATTCTATGACCATGATGATGGACCGCAGTGACAGACAGTCACGGCAGATGAGTCAAAGGGAATGACTGGTAAGCACTGTGCCTGTGATTGCTATGATAACGACACTTATTACACATGCAGACACTATATACCACCTTAAATTATGTATTTGGCCAAGTACAGTGATTTTTATTTTCCTGGTTTTATTGCTACAATAACCAATGTTTTTATATATGCATAGTGCCACTGATAATGCCATACCTAAGATTATTCCTGAATTGCACTTTCTAGTGCACTGTTCTGATTTTCCTCTTCTGAAATCACTGGGTCTACCTCACTTCTCACCCCCAGCCACCATCTCTGCGTGACAATGGACAGGGGGACATAAATCTCTGGCCTCCCGAGGCCACACACACCTCATCAACTGCCCAGCCTCCTGCTTAGCTCACAGAATCCTAGAATCACGGGGTAGGTTGGGCTGGAAGGGACCCACATGCTCGTCCAGTCCAAGCCCATGAGCAAGGCATGTGCAGCACCAGTGACGCGTGTGACGAGGAGCTGCCGGGTGGTGGGAGCCACCCCTCCCGTTCCACCTGCTGCCGAGGGAACACCAAACGCACACAGTCCTTCCAGGATCAGTCGTGCTCACGAGTTGTGTTTGTACATATTTGTCAGTTCTGTTTCCCAGATGTAAACCAGAATTTGCCGTTTTCCCTCCCTATCGCGGCTGGCAGAATTAAGCAATACTTTCACTCAATCCTGCTTCAGCCGAGAACGCAACCGGTGAAATCTGTTAAATCCCTCCAGCAGCAACGTGCCGCTCTCCAGAAGGAAGGTAAGAACCACATTTCGGCCTGACATTTTAGCATGACACACGGTTTATAATGACGGATTTAGGGAGTGCAGCACCGAAACCGCACCGAGATACGGGATTTCATAATGGTTTCACACTGTATTACTGGAGCCACACTTCAGATCCGCATTCACAGCCTGATCCGCTCGCTCTCTACTGGCTGGCTGCTTCACGTTCTGCCTGTGCCGATGCGATTCGCTCATTACGGCACGAAACAGTGTGTTTGCTCTTTTAAACTGCTCCTGGAAAACCTGACTTGCGGAAATGACAAATACATTACTAAGCACAGCCATCTGATTGTAAATTAGCAGCAATTAAAGCTGAAAGGAGTGTTACAAAACAAAAGTTCCAGTGTGATTAACAACCCTTTGACGTTCCTGCTCTGGAAATGTCAGCTCCTGCAACACTCACAGAGTGCACCTGGGAAAATCCAACCCAGCCTGAGCCAACGGAGCAGCTGGGGGGCTCCGGGGAGCACAAAGCAGTTTTCCAGGCACCAGGATGGGGACAGTGCTGGATCCTTCTGGGTCCGTTCCCTTGGAAGGGAGCCTTGAAGCTCAGGCACAAATGGATTCTTCACATCAAGGAGCTGCCAGGTACAACCTGCTCCATGCAAAGCTACACCACAGCTACACAGAGAACTCACAGCGCCATCCTGCTACCACCACGGGATGCAGATTTTTCCAGTTCCACTGGAATGGAGAACACACACACCTAAAACTGACTTCTTTTCAACTACATCGTGATTTCCCATTGTTGATCTGGATTTTTGATCAGCCACAGGCCAAGACCTGACCCGTAACTTACCAGCAGTGCAAGAAAACCTGCATTTTGCCATCCCACACCAACAGAGTTCCTTACTGGAGAGGTAAGGCAATCTCAGCTCCGATCTCGAGACCACTCAACACTTTTCTTCACAGACCAGAGCTAGAACTGCAACTCTCACATTTTAAGCAAGATTATTACTTTGAAGTCTGCTAAAGCTGAACTCCAACTGAGGACCAATGAACACCAGAACAGCCTGAATGGTTACTCTGGAATTGTGCTCAAACTGCAGCTGAGCTGAGATAGAGAAACTGAGTGGGACTGAAGACATCATTTGTTGCAATCCCTGGGGAAAGACTGATGGCAGTTTGCCTGCCCCACACACACACCACACGTTAGGTGCGAACCAGACATACCGCTTTACTGTGAGCTAAGGTTCTGAGGGAGCAATGCGGAATGGGCCTGCCAATGTCTGATGGAAGGGCGAGAGTTCTGGAGAGAGGCTGGAAAAGAGGAATTACCTGGTGCCACAGAGCAAGGCAGCTCCTACACCAAGGAATGTCCCAGGCAGGCAGACTGGCCAAGAGAAACAAGCAAAAGGCATAAAGGAGGAAATACCTGACTACAAACTAAAGTACAACAGCCCAGCAGCGCTGTGTGCCTGAATCATGTTACAGGGTAACGGCAGGGCTTGTAAGCGAAAATCCATGTTTGTTGCACAGACAGGAAACACGCTGTTGTGTAATTATTGCTGTTGGGTTTGTAAAGAAATATACCCACAGAGCTCATATATGGCCCTGGGGGTATTTACAAGCTGTGTAGATGTGGCACTTAATGACGTGGGTTAGTGGTGGCCTTGGCAGCGCTGGGGAACGGTTGGACTGGATGAGCTTAAAGGTCTTTTCCAACCTAAATGCTTCTACGGTTGTACAAACAAGCATTCCTAGGGCTCTCCACAATGAGACTTGACTGTTGTGAACCTGGCACCAGTGACAAGGAGTGCTGAGCTTTGGAGGGTTAGCAAAGGGACTGTGTTCTAAGAGTCTCCGTGCAGAAGTCTGCTAAGTGAGCTACAATTACCAGGATGCCTTCTCATACAGCCGTGATTCACAGATTAGAAAATTACTTCAAATAACCGTAAACCACAAACACAGCAACGGAAGAGCTCCGTTACTAACAAGTAGGAATGGCTTTGAAAATGCACCTTGTAAAGAACTCTTTGGGAATACAATTAGATTTGAAGTCATTTAGCATGAAGAAACCAAATCTATTTTTAAACAGAAATGATCAAAATGAATCACGCAGATGACTTCAGGGCTGGAAAAACGACTTCTCTGTTTTATCTTGCTGAAAATCACTCGGGTTTGAAGATGATTTGACTGCAGTGGGGGAGCTGCATGGGCCATGCAGTCACAGCTCGTGCTTCACTCGCACGGATGGTGGACGGGCAACGCTCCCTTTCCACAGCCTTTTCATCATTTACTCACCTTTGAAACTGCATCACCTGCTGAGATCTTCTCGCTGTAGAATCGTTCCTAGCTCCTGCTAAAGAACTCTCAGGTAGGTGCAACCATCAAATCACGCAGCTCCTGTGCAATGCTGTCTTTAGCAGCTTGGAGAGTTTTGTAACGCTTCTCATGCCCATTTTACAGCAGGGGAAACTGAGGCATGGGCAGCCCTGTGATGTGTCCAAAGCCAGGTAACGCTCCCGACTTCTCCAGCAAGCCACCGGCAGTCCTGGCAATAGAAGGGATGTATCCCAAGCCCCCACAGCACTGCCCAGCAGTGCGCAGTACATGAGTTTGAGATCATTTTCTGAACCGCGTTGTCTGACAATGAAATTTTCACCTTTGCTGATTAAATTCAGGCCACGTGATAAGCAGGAGAGCCAGAATAAAGGCTCCAGGAACAGCCACAGGTGAATCAAAGCTGGTTTGTGCCATTCAGGCTTCTGGTCCCCTTGCAAAGCCCTTTCATTCCTTGAACAGGTGGCTTTGAACAACAGGTTCCCTGAAGAAAGGCAAGCGCTGCAGATTCATTCCAGATCTCAATGAAAAGCAGACCCCTAGGCATGCAGACTAACAGCTGAGACAGTGATCATGGACCATCCTCCCGGCTCACCTGGGTTTACACTGCAACCTTTCTGTTTGGTATTGATGATACCAGCATCACGGGTATCAACGGGTGTTCTACTGGCAACAAGAGAAGGGACCACGGAGCAGGTGCTGCAGGCCAGAGACTCTAATTTAAGCCAGGGCTGACGCTGCCAGCGTCGGCTCCTACTCTGTTTCTTATAGAGGAGGTTACGATGGCAAGTGTGCAGACAAGAAGGCAATAGCAAGGGTAGGAGGACGAGTGGGCTGGGAATTAGCTCATGAAACACGATTTTGTCAGAAGGAGCAATCCTGTCAAAACACGGGTGTTGTGTAAAAACACAGGAGATCCTCACAACCCCTAGCTATGTCACAGGCACAACTCCCAGGTTTTCTCCCAGCGTACCAGGTGGATTGCTTGGTTCTCCCCTCAGCTCCCTGCGATGGGAGAGCCCTGCAGTGCTGGCTGTGGACACACGCAGGGGCCCTGAGCCCTGACTAGCACAGCTCCACCGCAGGGAAATGAGCAGCTTCAGGAACCTGGGTTAGGGCAGCCCTGTCCATTACATGTCCCACCCTCTGCTGAGGTCCCAGTCCCTCTGCTGGACCAAGTCTTACACTGTCCACTACATTAGGAGTCATGCCTGAAGCAGCTCAGCTGCTGTGGGGCAGAGAGGGCTCACTTCTGAAATCACACATGTATATATACACATATACACATCTATCTGCATCTACTATATAGGGGCAATTGTGGTATATAGAACTACAAGGGGATGTAAGGGCTCTGCCAAGGGAACAGACCATCCAAAGTAAAGGCATGTGGTAGGACAGCATCACACTAGTACAATGGAGAAGGCTCAGGGAGACCTCTGAGCAGTCTTCCAGTGCCTAAAGGGGCTCCAGGAAACCTGGAGAGGGGCTTTGGACAAGGGCCTGTAGGGACAGACCAAGGTCAATGGCTTTAACCTGCCAGAGGGGAGACTGAGATGAGCTCTTAGGCAGAAGCTCTTCCCGGTGAGGGTGCTGAGGCGCTGGCACAGGGTGCCCAGAGAAGCTGTGGCTGCCCCATCCCTGGCAGTGTTCAAGGCCAGGTTGGACACAGGGGCTTGGAGCAAGCTGCTCTAGTGGAAGGGGTCCCTGCCCGTGGCAGGGGTTGGAGCTGGAGGAGCTTTAAGGTCCCTTCCAAGCCATCCTGTGACTCTATGAATGCAGTGAGTCTGATCCAGGATGCTGTTAGAGATCCCGCAGTGGATGTGTGTGACTGCTGAAGGCACACGGTGCTGGCAGCGCTCTGCAGAGCTGGCAGTGCCAAGGGGCCTGGCCTGGGCCACCCTGCACACCCAGGGTGCCACTGCCTCCCTCGGCATGAGCTCTGGGCAGCATGGCTGCAGCCAGCCTCTGCGTGTGCCTCCAGCCATCTGTCACCACGGCACTGCTGCCCTGACACCCCTGCCGGGCTCTTTACCGTGGCTGTGGCTTGAACACGCCTACGGCGCAGCAGGAGCGCTGGCATCTTTTCTTCAGTAGCCATCATGTGCAGAGCCAGGAGAAATGTCACATACGGCAGGAATTCCCCATTCCAGCACCAATCTGGGAAACCTGCAGTGATCAAAATACTGCGGTAGAGGAGTGCCCTGAGTTTGGATCTGCCCAGAAAACAGCACCCACGAAGCAAGTTTTACTGCAGAAGGGCCAGCATAGCAGTGGCCCACTCTGAGAGACTCAAGGAAGTCTAAATCAGCAAACAGCATTTTTCTGATGCATTGCAACTCAGCTTGAGGTAGGAAGAGCAGAGTTATTCCAGGAGCAGGCTCCCTCATGTGAAGCAGGAATAGAACAGTGGACACCCTCTGTCCTTCCCAAGCATGGGCTACCAGCCATTGCTCCCCAGCAGACGGGTGGGCAGCAGCCTGGCTGCAGAGAACACCAAGTCCAACAATAGTTTGAGGCCACTTCCCTGCACGCTTTGGTTTCGTGTTCAAAGCTTTTCTTCAAATAATTCTTCCAGGAGATAAACTCCACAGGAATGAGCCCTGCTTCAGGATGCCACTGGAAGCTAACCAGCACCGCAGAGCTGGCACTGTGTGTGAACTGCGTCTGAGGAAACCGCATCTGAACTACAGCGGTCAGGTGTGGTTTTGATTCCCTTTCTGCATGAAGACAGCACCAGGTCTGCAGCACACTGGGTGTGCAGGATTCCAGCACCCAGCTCACGGGCTTCTGGCCTGATCCAGGAGGATGAGCTGGCCCAAAGCCCCTGGGCACAGGTCTGAAGCAAGCAGCGCCCCAGAGAGCTGGAGGGTGCCTGGGCTGTGTGGGGACCCTGGTGCTGGAAGCCTTGAAACTTGACTAGTCCTGAGTGCTCCAGGATCACTGCTGGTGGGAAGCAGGGGGGTCAGTACTGCATGTGCAGGGCCAGCATGGCTGTGGGGCAGGGACACTTACTGATGTGGCTGGCTGCTTCCTAATGCACTGCCCAAGGAGCACGAGAGGTCACACTTGCACAGCACTATGAACAGCAAAGCTTTGTTAAAATCACAGCATGACAGTGCTTGGGAACACTCTTGGGCCTTAGACTATGACTGCATCACTAAAGGGTCCCTTCCAACCATTCTGTGATTCTCTGATTCTATGTCTAACACACAAGATATGGTTTTTACTTCAGTTTTACTCAAGGAAACAATACTGAACATTTTTGACTACAGCACTACAATAAAATGTTCCCCTCTTATCAGTGAAGGCAATCATTATGAATAAGTAATTTATTTTCCCATCTCATAGCACATGTTCGTGGTAAATTAAAACCACTCTTTACGTAAGTATCAAAGTATTTTAAAGTCTAACCACAGAATTAAACACTATGAACCAAAAAATGTCTTTGGTATCTTCAAACCAGGAGTGAGTACTTACTGAGCTCTGCAGGTAGCTCTTTTATAGGACTCCTCTCTAAGAGCAGAGTTTTCAATTGCCTTTTCAATAAACCAGAAAAGAGACTGTAAGAGCAAAGTTCATTTAATTAAATACAAACACAAGAACAGTTTTGCTCGTTGTTTCCTTGCTTTTGTTCCCTACTACAGAAAGGCAAATCCTCACTTCTCCATCGCTAACATCAGTGCTGGAAAACGGCACACCCCAAAGCTTTCTGGAACAGCCATCTGAAGCTGGCATTTATGCCCAGTTATGATGCAACTACTTCAATATTTAGCATTTGATCTTTCCCTGCAAAGCCTGCTTATCACTTTAAAGTCTGATACTGACTGCTCCAATTATAAACACATCATTTCCAGTTGTTTATCATCTTGCTGAGCTTCAGCTGTTTGGGTTGTTGAGTGCATTCCTCAGGCTAAATTTGAGCTAAAACTACTCAGCCATTCTTGATAACGAGATTAGAAAGAAATATGCCCTACTTGTACTTCATTGCATCAGCTTCTTTCTTTGAGAAGCTCCAGTGTTCCTATTCTTGGACGCAGCCGAGAAGCTTGGCACGGGTCATGTACGACATTCATGGCATTTATGTCCCACACAAGATAATATTTTCTTGATATATCTGAAAATCTGTTAACATTTAGACAAATCCTGAGCTTCTGAGAAAATGTCAGCACGCCCCTGCTCCAAAACAATAGCATTGTCAGGGAAATGCTGCAGCTGCTGAATACACCCTTGTTTGGAGGTCTCCCATGGGAACCTCTGGGCACTGCACGTTCAGGATGCAGGGATGCCTAATCCACGTGAAGGGAGCCACTGACACCCAGGCAGCTCTGAAATAGGAACCACACAGACTCCCCACTTCTGTATCTCCTCATTTCTGACTGCTTCATTTTGCCATCTTGACTGCATTCTTGTAAACAGCCTTTAATATCCAGCAACAAACCGGCTCAAATGGTGTTCTATAGGCATGGTGCTGGCTTTATTTACTTGTGCTGCAATTGGACTTACTGTTAAAATACAGCAAAACAAACAAGAAGAGAGCTCTGGAGTGTCCACTATAATATTTCTTTACCTCCAGGAAGGAAAACCAAACCAAACCAAACCAAAGCAAAGCAAACCTTCTGGCAGCTCTTCAGCACCAGATTCACATTTGTGGCAATATTTGAAGACATTTCAATTCAGTCATGAAATGTGAGTGCTGGGCTCGTGTTTGCCTGTCTGGAGCAGAGTCTTCAGCTGCACCTAAGTGGAAAAATTGATTACAGACTTGGGTTAATTTCCCCACATTTAGAGGCACCACAGTGTACAGGGACAGCCCTGCTGCCTCAGGGCAGACTGGTAGAGCTTAGAGCAGCTCCAGTGCCTAAAGGGGCTGCAGGAAACCTGGAGAGGGGCTTGGGACAAGGGCCTGTAGGGACAGGCCAAGGGGAATGGCTTTAACCTGCCAGAGGGGAGACTGAGATGAGCTCTTAGGCAGAAGCTCTTCCCTGTGAGGGTGCTGAGGCGCTGGTACAGGGTGCCCAGAGAAGCTGTGGCTGCCCCATCCCTGGCAGTGTTCAAGGCCAGGTTGGACACAGGGGCTTGGAGCAAGCTGCTCTAGTGGAAGGGGTCCCTGCCCGTGGCAGGGGTTGGAGCTGGAGGAGCTTTGAGGTCCCTTCAACCCAAACTAGTCTGTGATTCTGTGTACATGCCCATGGCTGATCCCTGCCCACCCGCACATCCAGATCGCACAGGGATTTGTGGAGAGCAAAGTATCAGAGCAGCATTTTCCCTGCCTGCACACCAGGCCAGACACCATTTCCACAAGTGTTTCCAACGTTTTTGTTTGATCTGGAGACACTCTAATCATAACAGCTATTAAAATCAATGAAAGGCTCATGAACTGCTTGAATGGTCAACCCATCGGGCCCCAGACTAGCACAGTGTTTCATTGAGATTAAAACTGCACTTCAGGCTGCTTCCAGAAAAGCATAGCCCAAGAACTAGCAAACATCTTAAAATACAGCTTATGCCCCCACACATAATAAGGATAAAATGCGAGTAAGTAATATTCAGAGAACATTTCTGATGGAGCTGCTGCCTGGAGTCAGTGTAAAACTACAAACAAGATAAAGCGTGACACATGCAGGGACTGATGACTGACACATTATGTTGGAGGAAGATGCACACAGAGAATGTCTTCTTCTCAGAGGATCTCAACCACTCCTGCAACGATGATGACAGCATTCTAATACAGTTTGTAAATTGTATCAGTCCTGTCCAATTGAATTTAGGAAAGCTGTATTTAGAAGATTTGTAAACATCATTAAACTTGACATTTTCCAGCTGCTCGTAGACATATAAATTTTATTTACTGTATTTTTCTAATCACAAGTTGAATATATAACGATTCACAAACAAGAGATCTTCAAATACCTTTAAGCACTTTGTTTCAGTCACAAGATGCCATGAAACTTGGGTTTCTCGCTCTGGAAAATGCTGTAACATACCCTGGTCAAGGGTTGCTTCCTCCTCCTTGTCATACAGAAAGGTTTCTTTCAGAAGCACAGCTGCAAACTGGCTTGGTCTTTTAACTTCCAGTAGGAAAGTAATTCCTCTGTTCCTGTTCATTACCATGCATTGTCATTTGTGGTCTTCCGCTTCTGGAGTGAGGAGCAGGGAATTGTCCAAGGACATGAAAAAAGCCTGGTGGGAAGTTAGCTTTGGTGATCATGGTGATGTGGAAGCACTTCCAGGGTCACCACAACATGGTGTACTTCTTTCCCTGCATGCTCCATCTGAACCACTGACAGCCAAATAATCCTTCCAGCAGGTAACACCATGGCAGACAATCAGCACAAAGAGATTAACGGGTAGCTGTCCTTCATTATCACTTAGGTTTGTAACTGTGGTCCCCACCTGCACCTCACCCACAACACTAAAAACAGTCACTTACAGGTATTAAAATGAAACTGGGGCAAAACCTCAGTGGGAAAACAACCAGGCCTTGCCTTTTAAGGTTCAAAGGGTGTACAGATTCACTGTGTAATATTAATTGGGCCTTTCAGTTCATGTGGGCTTTAGCAAACACAATTAAGCCTATTTACTGCTTGCCTGCACTGAGGCCAACGTCAAACAAATGCATATGAAAGTCTGACTGCTACAACGAAATTACAGTAGGGGAAAGAGAAGACAAATACAATTGTTATTAAATTATCGGTCTGACCAATGATCTTACCTGTGGAAACCGATTCCAGGGGGAAGAGCTTTAATCTTGTTATAGCGGAGAACCAGCCAAACAAGATGTGGCAGCTTTTGAAACAAATCCTCGGGAAGCGTGGATATGACATTTCCTTCCAGATGAAGGTACTGAGCGAAAAACAGAAACATGTTTTACATCCAGAAGGAGAGGGGCTGTTCCTTGGCATGCAACATCGAATGTGAAAACTGTGAACTGCTCTCTGTTTTTGTGGAAGGAATGCTGCTAAAGGGGATTAAAGGATACACAACTATGAATTACACAGGGAGCGGTTTATTTAAGGACTTTTTGTTAAAGAACCCAGGGATTAAAGATCATAGCTAAGAACCTGTAGCTTTTCCACTCATCTGGCCCTTAGCTGCACTGTGCTACACTTAAATCAAGGGGTGAACTACTACTCATAACAACTGATTCACCTTTATGTTGGGCAGTCGGTACATTTCCTCAGTGAGATGTGTAATGATTTTTTGGCTGACATCGAGAGTGCTTGAAGAAGAGAGCAGAGACTCCTCAGCAGCCTTCCTGATCTCTTCTGACGAATCAGAAACAGGAGAATATCTCTTGTTGAGATGCTGACCTCCCAGATTGTCACCCCTGCTGTAAAGCTATTCAGAATTGCTGTCATTCACCTGTCAGCAAGCCTGGAATCCCGGCTCAGGAATCCAAAGGGACCAGGTGAAGGCAAGTCATGAGCTGGGAAAAAACAACATATTTTGGAATGGGAGCATACACAAACCAACGTGATGTCTATATTGTTAACTTGCAGATTATCCCCACTGCTGTGTACGATACAAACCAGTCAATTGGTCACTTTTACAGATGTATATACTTACACCAATGATACAAGGAACTTGTGAATGCCCCACCCCTGGCAGTGTTCAAGGCCAGGCTGGACAGGGCTTGGAGCAAGCTGCTCTAGTGGAAGGCGTCCCTGCCCATGGCAGGAGTTGGAACTGGATGAGCTTTAAGGTCCCTTCAACACAAACCAGTCTGAGTCTGTGATTCATCAGGATCACAGAATCATCTGGGTTGGAAAAGACCCATGAAGTGTTCCCCAGCACTGCCCAGGCCACCCCCAACCCATGGCACTGGGGCCTCGTCTCCACGCTGTGTGAACACTTGCAGGGACGGTGCCTGCAGCCCTGCCCTGGGCAGCCTGTTCCAATGCCTGAGCACCCTCTGGGGCAGGAATTGTTCCTCAGCTCCATCTAAACCTGCCCTGGTGCAGCTTGAGGCCGTTTCCTCTTGTCCCATCCCTTGTTCCTTGGGAGCAGAGCCCAGCCCCCCAATAATATGCATGTGAAGTCACAGGAAATAACAAAAATCTCCAACCAGCCTTTGGGGCCGCATTGCCCCGCACCGCGTCACACACAACCCTGGGAGCAGCACCGTCATGCACATGCACAGTGAATCACAGAATCGTCATACAACCCCGGCCTGCTTTGGGTTGAGGGGACCTCGAAGCTCATCCAGTTCCAACCCTGCCACGGGCAGGGACAGCTTCCACCGGAACGTGTGCCAGGCGATGCAGGTGCCAGCAGGGCCTCGGCTCCGCCACCCGCGATGGGTCAGAGCCGCCCCAGCGGCCCCGCCCGTGCTGAGCACCCGAGAGCCGCGTCCCCGCGGAGCAGCGCCCGGCCGCTCCTCAGCCGGGGCTCCCGCAGGCCCTGGCGGCCCCGAGCCGGCGGCGGCTGCATCCGTGCTGCTCCCAGCTCCAAGTGAAGCCACCCTGCGCGGTCCGCGCCCCCTCCGCTGGTTTCAGCGGGTGCCCGCGGCGCTGCCCCGCTCCCCACCCGCGGGCCGGGCCCGCACAGCGCTCCCCGCTCCGCTCCGCTCCGCAGCCAGGAGGGGGCACCGGTGGCGGGGCCCGGGCCGGGGCAGGGCGGGCTCCGTGCGCAGGCGCGGTGCCGGTCCCGATCCGTGCTCAGCCGGCTCCGTCACCCGGCCGCGGCTCCGCAGCAGCGGGGAGCGCCGGGGCACGGGCACGGGCAGGGCGCGGGCAGGGGCAGCGCCGGCGCACGGGGCGCGGGCACGGGCAGGGCGCGGGGCTCCGGGGACACCGGGGCAGGGTCGCGCTGAGCGGCACCGCGGACACCGCCCCTGGGGGGCCGTGGTGTCCGTTCCGTCGGGCAGGACCCTCCGCGGCCCGGCGGGGCAGGGAGGCGGCCCCAGGCCGGGCAGTGCGGGCTGGAGCCGCGTGAGCTCTGCGGTCCCTTCCAGGCCAAGCCCCTGCGCGGTCCCAGAGCCCGCACACACCATCCCCGCACCCCAGCTCCGCTCGCAGGTTTCTCTCTCTGGGGGCACAGCCGCAGCACAGCAACGACCCAGCCCTCCCAGGAAAACCATCCCCGCATGGCAGCGCCATCAGCGCTGTCGCCGGAGCAGCAGCGTCCCTGCAGAGGCTCCTGCGGTGCGGTGAATAACACTGAGACTAGCCGGGGCTCACACCAGCTGAAATAAAACATGTTCTTAATGAGCAAGACGGTAGAAACCCATTACTGAGGCACGAGGAGTGCTTAATCTACAAACCCAGATAATTACGTTCCCAGTGACCTGACCAAGTGTGATCAGAGGCACTGTAAGGGTTTTAAATACACAAAACTAATTTTAGAATTTAGATACATGATTTTTGGTGTTTTTTTTTGTTTTGTTTTTGTTTTTTTTTTTTTTTTTTTTTGCTGGCCTATACCCTGCTTATTAACATAAATGAGAAAAGAAAGCTATTTTAGAGGAATTTCTTTAGAAACTATTTCCTTACGGAAGGATTATTTATTTGTAGAAGAGAAACTGACCCATTTTATTACAGTCTGTAACCTCAAATGCATATTGCACTCCGTAGGAAAGAGAGTCTTGCTGACTGCTGGAACTGCCACATGGCAAAACAAACCACACAGCCTTGGCAATAGCATTTTGAGGCAAACAGGTGATGTTCTTGTTAGATCCCATGCTCATGCAGTGCCCTCTAGCAGCAAGCACAGCTGGAGGCTGGAGCATCTCGAGCTGCCAGAGATGCTGCATTAGTGCAAAGCTGTGATTCCACTGGGTTTAGAACTGTCCCCACCTTGGCTTGGTTGAACAATTGCCTCGCTCAGGAATGCCTGACCCGCACAGACTGTCCAGCCAGGAGCCCGTTTTGCAGCAGAGCCTGTTGAGCCTTGGAACCTCCATTTTATAGCAAGTCTCTGAATTCGGAGAGAGAATCCTGTTGTCCTGCAGGGACCTGCGGTGCCGCTGTGTTCATGGGAACAATTGGCTCACATGAGGAACTAAACAGGCCTAAATCTTCACATTTGCTTTGTCACAAGGCCACAAGCTTCTGAAAGCACAGCATAACCCGGGCAGACCAAGACCAAGCACCTATCCCTCACTTGAATGCATCTCCACTTTGGAAACACAGATCCCACTCACGAGTCTGTTCCTGCTGCTTGTAAGAGAGAGCAAGTACAAGGGGTAATTTTATTGTGCTTTTCCTGGAACAGATTTTCTTTGAGGCTGCTGAAATGCTTAAATCCTAATTATGGGCAATATTTATGAGCCAGAGGGCAAAGTTTATGAAGGCTAAAACTGGATCAGTGGCGAAGCTTTACAGAAGTCTTGGTGGCACTTGTTTATGCAAACGCCATGATACTTCAGATAATTTTATTTAAGCTAATACATTAGGATTGAAACCAATGACATCATTCCCTCGATTAAAGAGAGAATTATTTCAGCTGGGTTTAATCTCAGCATTCTGTTTAGAACTCTCTAGCACAACAGTAATAGAGAAACATTTCCATGGCCACTTCATGGAGATCAAGTGATCTGGAAAGATACCCAACTTAGGGAATTGTCTTAGAACAGGACTTACAGTGTTGCTTGTCAAATCTCATTGTCCAGTTTGGCCTCCTCATGAAGCTGGAGTCCTTGGCACCGCCAGCACAGTAACAGACCACTTCTTCAGCATGACAGTATCTAGGCAGACTTTATCCTGATGAGAAGGCAAGAAGAAAGAATAGACTGGCAATCAATAAACAGGTTCATTTTACTTTTAGCAAGCCAGAGTTCTGAGTTTCAGTCACAGAGCAACAGCCAGAATGGCATCCCACTGCACACACCACTGTCAGGTTGGTCACTGTGTTCTCAGCTTGCTGGCAGCACTTTGTCACCAGGGACTATTGCACATATCAGTGCCACCAGTGCTCCTCCTCAGCACTGCAGGTTGATGTGGGTGACTGAATGAAAGGTGCCAGGGACCCTCATGCAGAGGAACTGTTGGATCATGCACTCCAAGCTCCAGAGAGGAGTGCTCAGCTTCCCTGCCCAGCTACTTGTTCAGGTTAGCAGGCACCTACGTTACACAAGTTTAACTCCATTTGACTTCAGATAAGTTAGGAAGCAAAGTTCTTCCTCATCTCTCTAAAGTAAGAGCTGTTAAATAATACCAGAAATGTCATTGCTTTCTATATAAAACCGCTCTCTACAGCATTATAAGGCTTTTAATACTCCCATAAGTGAACAAACTGATTTTACTCTAAGAATGTGTCTTATGAAAATATACTAACATATGTTCCTAATTTCCTAATGAAACATTTGGTTAGCCTAAATAAATAAATAACATAAGCAGGAAAGTGAACAGACATGTAAACAAAAGGAGGAAGAAGTCACTATAAATTTAGGGCTGAATTGCTCAAACAGCACCAGAAACAAATCAACAGAAACCATTGCAGAATACAGCAAATCAAGCAAGATATCTATTTTAGGCTGTAAAAGGCTAAACCGAACCAAGCAAATGAACTAGGACAGATTTACCTGCCAGCTTAGGAGGAAGAAGGGGGTAGAGAAGGCAGGAGGCAGCACTTGCATCACTGGAGGGGTTTGAGCACCTGCTGGTAATAGCCTTGTAAACCCTGCACTGCAGCTGGCACTGGGGATGAGAGGAGCCCTGCTCTGCCCTGAAGGGTGCTGTTACCCTCCTGCTGCCAGCTTTGGGGCTGCACAGCTGCCATTGTGTGTGTGCTGCTGCAGAGGGACCTGATGGAGGAGGTTATTGGTTAACTGGGGTGGTGTCAAAAGGCTGGGAGGCAGCTGGATCAGTGATTACTATTAGCATCTTTAAAAATAGAGTTGGCACTACTTACAGAAACACTAATTATAGGCAAATATGTGACATTTCCCCCTTATGTAATGTTTATTGAAAGAATGATGTGTTCTTTCAGAGGGACTGCTTAAAATAAACATAGGCTTTTCTCTGTTGGCTTTCTCCTTGATGGAGAAGCATGTGAATTTTAAGGATTACGGTAATATTCTTTTCATCATCTTGGACATGTTGCAATTATAGCCATTATTTTCAGTAAAGGGCTTTTAAGAGGAGTGTAATATCATGGTATATTGGCCCCCTTGTTTCTGTGCCTAAATCAGGAGTGTCTTACTTGCCTCTGCAGTTTTGTGAGAATTGGTCATGATTTTGTTTAGAAACCATTTTCCTCAGCTCACTGAGCACAGATACCCTAAAGAATGTAATGCTGCTTCAGGCAGCTCTGTTTCTGGTTACACTGGCTTTATTCAGGGTAACTTCACTGATACCAGGGAACTTGATCATGATTTATGGTGATGAAAGCAGGTGTAGAGTGGGACAATGACATCTTTATCTCTGCTGGTGATGGCCTTGTTGATGTCACTTCTGCCATTCCACAGGCAAAGGCATCAAGAAACGTGGTGGGCTGAAACCCTCCCCGGCATCAGGACAATCACATCCTCTTTTCCCACTCTTTTCCTACACCACATTCTGCAGGCTTCTTGGAACAAGACTATGATTCTGTGCTGTGGATTTCGCTTGTCAGAATCTTAGGGGGAATAAGAGAGAAACAACAGCGGAGTGACAGATGGACAGCAGCGTTTAACAGCCTCTTTCATACTTTGCAAAGGCAGGAGAAGGGGAGGAGTGGAAGCTGAGAGCTCAGCCATTTGCAGCATGTTGGAAACTAAACCTGCCCCTGAACAAAGCAACACTTACTGCCTCGTACAGAAGTGTTCTTTTTATTTGAGAGTGACTCTTCTGATTTCTCAAAGAAATCTTTAAGAACTATTCTTTGCCTTTGGAAAACTGTTCTTAAATTATAGCCTCCACCTGAGATCCTTTTCCAACTTCCAGGCTCTTAAATAATGACTAAATCTGAGCAAAATTTGCGTGAAGAGTGCAATAACCGCAATATCCTTTTCAAACTGTGCCGTGGGAGAAAACAGAGTAAAGTTTAAATTAAAACCCAGGGAGCATGGCCTCAGAATTGTGCAAGCCCTTTCCTGAGGGTGTCACAGAGACAACGCAATGGCTGAACACTGTCACTGGACATTTCTGATGTGGTCCTCTTGTGTGTGCACACTTTATGTGCCAGAACCAGCAGCCGTAGACTTCACTGCCCACCTTTCCTGCCTGCTGGAAGGTGACCCCACAAGCCCAGTAGTTTATGCTCTAGTGGAAGGTGTCCCTGCCTACGGCAGGGATTGGAACTGGATGAGCTTTAAGGTCACTTCCAGCAGAAACCAGTCTGGGATTCTGTGATTTCAGGCCTAAACAACCACCTTCAGGCTTTTATGCTCTGTATCACAACATCCCCTATGACTTCTTCAGTAAAGATCTCCAGAGTGAGGAAGCTTCTGAAATGCAGTGGAACATCTGTACAAGAGAAACATTGACTTTCCAGGCTACCCACTAATTTAAATCAAGTCTTTAGTTTATTACAATAGTTGAATAAAAATCAGCACAGCTGCCTTCACGTTAGTAAGATCAAAGATTGGTAGTGAGTACTCCTGACAGATTTAGGATGAACTATTTGTGCTTTCAGAACTAAACCCAATGTGGGTAGAGGCTGGGCCATGCTGTAACTCTGTGCCTTTCCTCAAATCACAGAATCCCAGCCTGGTTTGTGTTGGAAGGGACCTTAAAGCTCCCCCAGCTCCAACCCCTGCCACGGGCAGGGACCCCTTCCACTAGAGCAGCTTGCTCCAAGCCCCTGTGTCCAACCTGGCCTTGAACACTGCCAGGGATGGGGCAGCCACAGCTTCTCTGGGCACCCTGTGCCAGCGCCTCAGCACCCTCACAGGGAAGAGCTTCTGCCTAAGAGCTCATCTCAGTCTCCCCTCGGGCAGGTCAAAGCCATTCCCCTTGGCCTGTCCCTACATCCCTTGTCCCAAGCCCCTCTCCAGCTTTCCTGCAGCCCCTTCAGGCACTGGAGCTGCTCTCAGGTCTCCCCTTCAGGAGCCTTCTCTTCTCCAGGCTGCCCCAGCCCAGCTCTCTCAGCCTGGCTCCAGAGCAGAGCTGCTCCAGCCCTCGCAGCATCTCCATGGCCTCCTCTGGCCTCCCTCCAACAGCTCCACGTCCCTTTTGTGCTGTGCCCCAGAGCTGGATCAGGGCTGCAGGGGGGCTCTCCCCAGAGCGCAGCAGAGGGGCAGGATCCCCCCCTGACCCGCTGGTCCTCCCGTGTGCGATGCAGCCCGCAGCCGGCGGGCTCTGCCCTTTCCCGCAGCGCCCCTGTTTAGGCAGCAGCTCCACACCCCTGAGCGCTGCGAGCGCTGCGCCGAGCTCCGGGGCCGGGGCCGGGATCCCCCCCCGGGGCAGTCCCCGCCCCGGCCGCACCTGCGGGCGGTGCCGCTGCCGTCCCGCCGCCGGGGGCGCTGCTCCGAGGGCGGCCCGGCCCCGCCCCGCCCCGCTCCGCCCCCCGGCGCTGCGGCCGCCGGCTCCCGCCGCCCGCCTGGCTCCGCGCTCCCGGCTCCGCCGCGCTGTGGCGGCCCCGCGGGCAGGGCTCGGGAGGCGGCGGCGCCGGGCGCTGCCATGCGGGCGGGCGGCTGAGGGCGGCGGCGGGCAGCGGCGCGCAGGGCATGCCAACCGCCTCGCCCCGATGTTTCACTGGGGCAAGTGGAAGAAGAGGATGGGAGCGAGCGCCTCCTCCTCCAAGAGACCGGTCTTCGACGAGCGGGAGGACGGTGAGTGCGGGCCGGGAGGGCGAGCCCTGCCCCGGGATGGTGAGCGCCGGGGTGCCGAGCCGTGCTCCCGCATGCTGAGCCCCGGGGTGCCCGTCCCTGTCTCGGATCGTATACCCGGTGCCGGGATGCGCCGGAACGCTGAGCCCCCGAACGCCCAGCTCCGGGATGCCCCGGGTTGCCTCAGGGTGCACTCTCCGGCTGCTGGATGTCCCTCTGTGCCCATACCCGGGATGCTGAGCCCATTCCCGGACCTGTTGAGCCCCGCTCCGCTCGGCTCGGTGGGTCACAGAGACGCAGTAGGAGCCCGAGGTCCGCGGGTCCTGTCCCGGTGCGGGTTTGCCCGTGAGGCGCAGGGAGCGGAGCCCCGGCAGCCGGTGTTGAAATACCGGGTAACGGGGGAGCGGGCAGCCAGGGGATGGTTTAGCAGTGAAGTTTCCACCTGTGCGAGGAAATCTGTGGCTTTAACACAGAAACATCAAGCACTGCTGGTCTCAACTCCAAACACTGCGCGCCACTGCGGGAGGGCTGCCTTGGCTTTGTTGTAGGAATACACCATGCAGTGCCATAGTTGCACGAGACTCCTCGGCTGCAGGGTGCTGTTTCAGAGGAGCAGAGGAGGGAAGCTTAGACTGTGGGTGCGGGAAGCCTCGGGAGTGATGGATGGGGTGCTGGACCGCCGGGAGCCATCCCAGCATACAGAGCATGCTGTGCTGGCCCTGGGGCACCCACTGAGCTCTGACTAAACCCCTGGGTGCTCGGGGTGACCGGTTTTGCACCGGATAAATTTGGAGTTATGCATGTTAATCTTGGAGTTCTGTGTGTTAATCTCAGTCTTCGAGGCTGGTGATGTTCTCGTTTCTGTGAGCCCTGGGTCTGCCAGCGTCCCCTTGGTGAGGGCGGCCAAACCTGAGCCTGTGCTGCTGAAGGGGTGTGAAGTCGGGGCTGCTTTCCCTAGAGAAGCAGCAAGTCGGTACCGCCAGCAAGTGTTAATTGGCGGTTCAGAATGTAACACTGCGCTGTTAGCCCTTGTGTCTCCTACTAGGAGGTGTAGAGAAACACCCCTCAGAACAGCAGCGGGGTGGTGGGGTTGGGTCGGGGTGACTGTGGTGTGTGTGCAGTGCTGCTCAGAGCGACCGTGATTTTGTGCTCCAAGTGGAGAATGTTTCATCTGGCTGTGATGTGCTGGGTCAGCGGAACAGGGAGTGAGGAGTGAAAACGCTTCAGCTGGAGGTTTCACTGCGTAAATCAGAGATCATTTTGTTCTGAAATCACCTCTGCTCTGGAGCCAGGCTGAGAGAGCTGGGCTGGGGCAGCCTGGAGAAGAGAAGGCTCCTGAAGGGGAGACCTGAGAGCAGCTCCAGTGCCTGAAGGGGCTGCAGGAAAGCTGGAGAGGGGCTTGGGACAAGGGATGTAGGGACAGGCCAAGGGGAATGGCTTTAACCTGCCCGAGGGGAGACTGAGATGAGCTCTTAGGCAGAAGCTCTTCCCTGTGAGGGTGCTGAGGCGCTGGCACAGGGTGCCCAGAGAAGCTGTGGCTGCCCCATCCCTGGCAGTGTTCAAGGCCAGGTTGGACACAGGGGCTTGGAGCAAGCTGCTCTGGTGGAAGGGGTCCCTGCCCATGGCAGGGGTTGGAGCTGGGTGAGCTTTAAGGTCCCTTCAACACAAATAAATCTATGAATCAAGCCTGAACACAGCCAGTACAGGGAATGGAGCTGTGCAGGTGGATGACCACTGAGCAAAACCTAATAACATCCCATAAGGTCTTTTCAAGCAGTTCCTGCAATTGTGGAGACTTATTAGGACTTTACTTAATATTGCCTGCTTTTTTTTTGTTGTGGCTTGTTAGTGTGTGCTCAGAGCAATTACTGTGTTGTTCTGGTGAACTCCTATTTACTGTCATGGCAAGGTTGCTATGGAGATCTTTTAAGGCATTTCGATAACTTATATAGAAAAGCCAGTTAGTACTTTGGTTTTGTGTGTGACATAATGTGGAAGAAT